CAGTGCAGGGAGCAGCTTCAGCAGGGGAAGCCACAGAGGCCACTGCCCAGGCCAGAGAGGCCAAAGCCCCCAGAGCTGATGGGCACTCCCTGAGAGCTGAGGATGCTGCCAACAGCAGCAGAGGTGGAGGATCCCACCACGGTGTTCTGTGGGAAGGAGCTGAGGATGGGGCCAGGCAGGGTCACCACCACGGCCGAGGGCTGGATGGCCACGGTGGAGTCCTGGCACTGCCTGACACAGGGCTCATTGCAGCTGTTGGCCAGCGGGGTGGGGCCACAGGGCTGGCAGGGCCGGCACGGGCTGTAGCAGGACATGGCTTGGGGCTGCAGATGCACCTGAGACAGAGAGCAGAGGCAAGGAAATCACAACGAGTCCCTAAGGATCCAACTGTTACCTCACCATGAGGGAGCCAAGGCTTGAGCTGGGATTGAGAGCTGAAGGCTGTGTCTGGAGGCACATGGACTCTTCCCCTCACACAAACCTCAAGCCCAGGGACATCCCAAACCAGACCACACCTGGGGCAATTCTTCTGCCAAGACCCAGCAGTCACACACCTCCCACTCCTTTCCTCCTCTCACAAGGAACATCTGCCAGAGCTCACATGGGACAAAGTCACAGGTATGGGCAGAGAAATCCCAGAGAAGAAGGAGGAAATGGAGAATGGGCTTCAAACTCACCTTGTTGCAAGGAGATGGAGGTGAGTGCAGTGAATGTGAGAGTGGGGAGAAGAGCCTCCTTTTATACAGCTCTTGCATTGCCCCAGGCCCACAGTCCTGCACAAGGGTGGTAATTTTTCAACAGACTCATCTTCAAAGGAAAATATCCCACATAGTGGCAGCGATCCACATTTTGTTTCCATCAACGCTGCCATACTTAATTTCCTCATTTCCAACATTCCTGCCCTGCATTGCGGGATCCTTTCATGTTCTGTGATGAGAAGCAAAGGATATCCCAGGCAGAGCCATGTCAGCAAGGGCACATGACCCAAGTGCTGGATGAAGGCAGGGAATGTTGGTTTAGGGCAATGAAAAGCAACTCTTTGCAATAGCCCTTGCAGGAAGAGTCCCTGCCTTGCACTGCACATGTCTGAGGGCATCCATAATAATCTGCTTTTTATGGACATTTCACTTTCTTCTCTCTTATCCATCTCTCTCTGTTCTCTGCAAGGGTCATGAGCTGCAGCATGTCCAGGCAGCCAGGCTGTGCCAATGTTTCAGCTCTCTTCCTCATGATGCCCTTTGCTCTGCAGGGGATGTTTGCCAAGCCTTAGGAAAGACAAAGACCACCTGGAATTGAATCAGGCAGAGCACATGGAGGGGCAATAAGAAGGTCTTCTCCAGACAGGCCATCAGTAAAGGGAGCCTTGGACACAGGCAGCCCCAGGATTGAAGAGGCAGCTTCCCTGAGGGCAGGGGGTACAAAAATGGTGAACAGCCTTATAGGATCATGTTCTTGGTCTATGCCTATCAGGAATTGCTGTCAGGAACTGAAGTTCCTGGTACTCCTTGGAACAACTGGAACAGAAAAGATTTCCTCAAGCAGAACAGAATCCAATGGAGGAACATGGAAACACAGTGATCTGAAGTGACTGTGTGTGAATTGATGTTCTGTGTTCACTGGTGTAAGTACAAAGCCTTTCTCAACCCCCTTTGAAAGTCACAGAGACCATGGAATGCATCTGAGAACTGGAAGAAAGCCAGTGAGTGTCTTGTATTCAAAAGAGGCAGGAAAGAGGAGTCAGGGAATAACAGGCCAGTCGGACTTGTCTCGATATCTGGAAAGGTGATAGAGAAAATCACTACAAAATCCAACATGCAGTGGCCAGGGAGGATCTGTGCTCAGAAAGGCCCTGGATGCAAAAGCAGATTTCAAAGAACACCAAGGAGGGATGCACGTCCCTGCCCTATGCCCTTTGCTCTGGAGGGGATGTTTGCATTAGGAAAGCCAAAGCCCTCCTGGAATTGAATAAGGCAGAGCACATGGAGGGGCAATAAGAAGGTCTTCTCCAGACAGGCCATCAGTAAAGGGAGCCTTGGACACAGGCAGCCCCAGGATTGAAGAGGCAGCTTCCCTGAGGGCAGGGGTACAGGAATGCTGAACATCCTCAAAGGTTCATGTTCTTGGTCTTTGCCCATCAGGAATTGCTGTCAGGAACTGAAGTTCCTGGTACTCCTTGGAACAACTGGAACAGAAAAGATTTCCTCAAGCAGAACAGAATCCAATGGAGGAACATGGAAACACAGTGATCTGAAGTGAGTGTGTGTGAATTGATGTTATGAGTTCACTGGTGTAAGTACAAAACCTTTCTCAACCCCCTTTGAACGTCACAGAGACCATGGAATGCACCTGAGAACTGGAAGAAAGCCAGTGAGGGTCTTGTCTTCAAGAGAGGCATGAAAGAGGAGTCAGGGAATAACAGGCCAGTCAGACTTGTCTCGATATCTGGAAAGGTGATAGAGAAAATCACTACAAAATCCAACATGCAGTGCTCAGGGAGGAGCTGTGCTCAGAAAAGCCCTGGATGCAAAACTACATTTCAAAGTACACCAAGGAGGGATGCACTTCCCTGCCCTGCAGACATGGAGGCAGCTGGGACGCGGCCCAGCAGGGCCAGGGAATGCCTTCAGTAGGCAAATCTCCAGGGAGAGACTCTCCTGACCCATGGTCAGTCACGCTCTCATTGTGGTGTGAGGTCAAGGCAGGAGTGCGTGCTGTCTGCAGGCTTTGTGCCAGGCAGGGCTGAATTCCCTTCCAGCAAGGGCAGCTCCATCCACAACCCTGCAGAAGCATCTTCAAGCACTGGGCTGAGCCCAGACCCGCAGCTCCAGGCAGCCCAAAGGCCATTGCCCTCAGCCTGCCTTGCTTGGCAGCACTGCCACAGCTCAGCGTGTTCGCAGCATCCACAATGTGTGGCAGGACTTGGTGTGCCCTCCAGGGCAGGGTGCCAAGGGTGCAGCCAAAGAGCATCATGGGCTGAAGAGAGGGGGAAGAGAAGGCAGGGACCCAAAAGTGAACACATCCCTCAGGCAGTAAGGAAGTACACAACTCCACATGGGTCAACTCGAGCCTTGATTCCTGCCCATGCTATGGTGTTCCTGCACAAGAATCCTTGTACATCTCACCCCACAACAGGGTAGAAGCCTCTATGACTCAGGCACACAGTCTCCTTGGGAACAAGGTAAGTCTGAAGCTCTTTATTCTTCTTTTATTCATTCTAATCATTATGCTTCCATGGGATTTTTCAGCACAAAGCTGTCTGTTCTATACATGATTCTGGAGTTACTTTCTATGGGAGATGGAAAGGTGCAAAAGAGGTGTCATGGAGACAGGCTGGAGCTCATTTAGGTGTCTCCTGTGGCGTGGGCTAGGAAAGGATCTCCCAGAGCTCAGTAGCGTTTTGCAAGTCTCTTTTGGGCTTTGGAGAACGAGAAGCCTGTGGGCTTCCCTATGATCCTTCCAGCTCTTTGTGTGAGCTCATGTCTTCTCTCTCTTGTGGTGGTGTTACAGGCTTCTACTCACTTATGCTTTTCTACCCTCTGTCCTCTCTGCCAGGTGCATCTGCAGCCCCAAGCCATGTCCTGCTACAGCCCGTGCCGGCCCTGCCAGCCCAGTGGCCCCACCCCGCTGGCCAACAGCTGCAATGAGCCCTGTGTCAGGCAGTGCCAGGACTCCACCGTGGCCATCCAGCCCTCGGCCGTGGTGGTGACCCTGCCCGGGCCCATCCTCAGCTCCTTCCCACAGAACACCGTGGTGGGATCCTCCACCTCTGCTGCTGTTGGCAGCATCCTCAGCTCTCAGGGAGTGCCCATCAGCTCTGGCGGCTTTGGCCTCTCTGGCCTGGGCAGTGGCCTCTGTGGCTTCCCCTGCTGAAGCTGCTGCTGCTGGCCCTGGGGAAGGAAGCCAGGCACTCCCAGGATGGAACCGCCCTGGGCACGCAGCATCGGCTCCTTGCTTCCTGAGGGGCTGAGCAAGCCCAGCAGCCCTTGCCCAGGGACAGGGCCAGCCTGGGCTCTTGGGAAGCACAGCCCTGCCCTGCCTCTGTCCCCTGACACTCTCTCCTTTCCCTCCTGTCTCCTTGTTCCCTTGTGCTCCCTGGGGCTGTGAGCCCCACACAGCCATCCTGGGCAGCACCTGCTGGCCCTGCTCCCTCTCTGCATCAGGCAGCTGGACACCTGCTGGCATCTCTGACACAGCCATGTGATGGAGATCCTGAGCTGGCCCTGCTGCTCTCTGCACTGAGGCTGCCACTCAGAGTGACCTTGTTCTCAGCTTTTGACTCATTAAATTTCAGTTGCATCCCAGCCCATGCCTCTGTGTCATCCTTTCCCTCCTGCTGGTCTCCCAGGATTCCCCGGGAGGGAGGTGTTGCTCAGGGATGGTTTTGTGGGACACATTCAGGAGATGGTGTTTGAGTGCCTTTTAAGATGGGATATTGCTCAGGGATGGTTCTGTGGGACACATTTAGGAGAAAGTGTTTGAGTGCCTTTTCAGACATGGGATTTAAATCTCCTACATTGTAGTAGTGCTTCTTTCTGTCTTTCTCCATGTGTCATAACACTTGTGTCTCTGTTATGTCCCACTGCAGAAGGTGAGGGGTAGTCCAGGTGTTTTTCCATGCATGGTTTCAGATTGATTAGAGAGAACCAACACTGAATGATTGGTGTTTGTAAATACACACAGAGGGTTTATTGTCTTGATTGGACAGGAAAACACATCTGTAGTCATTTTGTCTCTTATTCTATAAAGCAATACAATATGAAAACATTGCAAGGTGAAAATGCAACCACATCACCCAGGGACATGCACAAGGCAAAGGGAAGGAAAAGAGATAAGGGACAAGATTGTGAAGATCTCTCCAGCCATAGGCTCTATGATGAGACTTGGTTGCTGCACAGTCTTGGTCAAAGTGGTCACAGGCTGGACCTGTCAGGTGGTGGGGGAAGTCTCAAAGAAGTGGTGGGTGGAAATCCCTGGGAAAATCTACAGAACATCAAATCTCCTTGCTTTATATTCACTCAATTTCAGAGGGGGACGCCTGGGTTCCTCCCTTGAAGAGGGCAGCTTCACACTGGATTATGTAACACTGTGGATCATGGGACCCTTCAGGAGCCCTTGACACCTTCTGAGACAACACAGCTGCCCATCACAGCCAGCAGAGCTGCTTTGCTTTTGGCCCAAGGTGGCCCACGAGCAGAGATGAACACTGTCAGCCCACTCGTGAATGTCCTGCTACTTCCCCCAGGGAAGAGAGGGAGCCCCAAAACCCTGCAAGGTTTGTGCAAGGGAGGGCAGCTTAGAGTGACCAGAGGCACCAGCACCCACCTCCTGTCTCTTCCTAAGCCCATCATTCACCCTGTGTCTGACTAGATCAGAGGCTGGCCATTACACAGCCACAGCTCACCTCCCCCAGTTCACCAAAGCACCCTCATCTCCACAAACAGGGGAATGTTGTGAGTCATTATCCCTTAAGACTTCAGTGTCCCACAGTCTGCAGATGTGGGACATGGGTCTGCAATCCTCTGCACTGGCCCTGTCTACTCCAAGGATGATTTTCTGTCGCGGATTAAAGCATTTTTGTCTCCATGCTCAGCAATCCCTGTGCCTCAGTCAAATGCTCTGATCTCCTCACCATCCCGGCCACCCTGCACTGAGCCCAGTCCCCTTGTTCCTGGTGGTTCTTGCATTACAGCCTGTGCTCAGTATGGGGCTGTTGGGTTATGCCTTTTTCTGACCTAGAGATGGGACACCTGAGAAA